TAACTCCCACCTTCTAGGCGCTAACCATGCCCCAGTACCACACTCACTAACAGATTTACACTTACTAATTGATTTAATCCCCATTAAGCCCCATGAGACAGTGTTGCTATTGCCACATTACCGATGAGAACATGAAGAATGGAAGCAGTGCAGTAGCTTGTCCAGGGCCACATAAAAAAAAAAAAAAAAATGAACCCTGGGCCAGGCCTTGAACCAAGTCAGCCTGGTGATACCTAAGCTTGCTATTGTGCTCTATGTGGAAACCATGCTCAGACCTTCTGTCACTGAAGCCCTACTCCTTAATTCCTTCCTCTGTTTGCAGGCCTTTTCCTTGTCCTCCTGGGCACGGCTGAGGGACATACAGAAGGGCCTGAGACATTACAGCAGGTTGCAGAAGTACATGCCATCATCATTGAGCAAAACAGACCACCTAGGGAACACATCTTGTTTTCCCTGCAATTTCGCCACGTGACTTTGGGCAAGTTATTCACCCTCTCTGTGTCAGTTCTCTCAATTCCAAAATAGAAGTTATAATAATGACAGTACCACAGGTTTTGTATTCTAGAAAGGCACGAAAAACAATTAGAACAGTAGCTAACTCTGGATACGTACTCAACAGTTGTCAGCTATTATGCGTATGTAAAAAGCCCGGCAATGAATAGCTCGCTGGCTGTTACTGCAGTTGAGTTGCCAGGCGGTATCTGACTTCTCTTCAGCAGTGCCTTAACTATTGTGCCACAGGGTCAGCCCAGTCTCCAGAACGTTTTTATTTTCCCAAAGTGAGACTTTGGGCCTATTGTTCACTAATTTCCATTTTCTGCTCTTCCCTAGCTCCTGACAATGATCACTCTACTTTTCATCCCCATGAATTTGATTACTCTAGGTACTTCCTGTAAGTGGCATCACACAATATGTCTCCTCTTGTGATTGGCTTATTTCACTTAGCATAACATTCTCAAAATTCATGCAGGGGGGCCAACAGGTGGCATGGTGGTTAAGGACACTGGACTCCCACATGGCAGACCACAGTTCAAGTCCTGGACCTGGTGGCTTGCTATCTCTCTCTCTCTCTCTGTCCCTCTCTGATCAAACTTAAATAAATAAACAAATAAAGGTAAATAAAATAATTTTTAAAAAGAAAGATTCATGCAGGTTGTAGCACATGTCAGAATTCCCTTCCTCCTCAAAGCTGAACATCATTTCATAGTATGGTTATGCCACATTTTGTTTATCCATTCGTCCTTCGATGGACACTGGGTTGCTTGCATGTTTTGACTGCTGTGAATAATGTGAATCTGAACAAGAATGTGCATTTCTCCCTGTCTTTGAATTATCTGTGGTTGAATGCAGGTAGTGAACAAGTCAATCCACCTGCAAGTTGCCCTCCTTGAGCCTCCATTTCCTCATCTGTGAAATGTGGAGGTTTCCTATTACAGGAATTAAATGAGGTGGTGCATGACAGGGAGGTGCCTGCCCTCTGTAAATGCTCGATAAATGTTAGCTCTTGTTGCATCTGTTCAACAGGGAGTAACTAGAGAAGAGAAGCCTGGAATAAGACTGGCTAGCTTGAGCTCTCTCACAAGTGTCATGCCAACCTGCTCTCACAAGCATCCTGGCAAGTAGCCCGAAGATCTTGATTTTTCCAGATGAGGAAACAATCTTAGCAGAGGCAGGTCTGCAACGTAGCTCCTTAGGACTTCTTATTCTCATGAGAAGGAATGTGAAGACTCAGGGGAAGGCAAGTGAGCATTTGAAAGTTCCCTCAGATGTCTGCAGAGCTGTCCTGGGGAAGAGCAAACACACTTGTCCCAGATGTCCTTAATGTCGGAGAGAAGAGCTGGGAAGGTTGAGTCAAGAAGAGGTGTCAACACAGAGGCAGAGGGTACATGTTGAAGACAAGCTTAGAGCTGAGAGATACAGTGTCCGCAGGAGAAATGGGAGGAGGCTACTCAGTGGGTGCAACAAGCACTATTGTGCGTTAGACGGTGGAGCTGGGTCACCCAGGGCATTATAAGGTTCCCAGCCCAGTCTAGTTCTTGGTTCTGGGAAAGTGCTTGATGAACTGCCCAAGGTGGTGTTTCAGGTAGATTAGTCAGACTAATTGGAAAGAAATGCTTGTCTTATCACAATTCCCTGCCTTCCAACTACAGACAATATTTTAAAATATATATGTGCGCTTTACCAACATCACGTACATAGTTCAAAAAGTCAGGCTGTCTGTGGTGGCACAGCAGTGACATGGTGCTCCATTATGAGAAGGTCCCAGGTTCATATTCTGAGGTCTCCATATGCAGTCTAGGTGTGCACATGTGCTGGTGACCCTGGCTGACTGAGGCCAAGTATGCATTGCAGTGTAAAGACCCTGTCAGTTGGGAACGTCTTTCTTTTCCTCTCTCTCACCTATCTCTCCACACCCCCTTCTCTCATGGACGAAATAAACTTAAAGTCAGTTCAATAAAACTCATTGCCCAGCGCCATTTCCCTGGTCTTACTGCCCAAGGACACGTCCTGCCCAATATTCCTTCCATTCTGTACCTCCATATAAAAATCCCTCTCCTCATTTGTTAGTTTGAGGTATGCCCTACTGACTATCTTTCACAGAAGGGAGGACTTAGTTTCCCCAGCCACTTCACTTTTTCCCAACTCTCCATTCTAGTTATAACATATTTTTTGTTAGATTAGTGTCTAGCGTTGTAACCATGTAAATCATGGCTGAGCCATATCAAATTATGTTTAAATTTTTGCTTTTGTATAACTTATTCTTTCTGCTTTAAACTAGTATCTCTTTTTTAAAATCTACCTGCTTCATTTTCAAAGCATGTTCCTTCATCCAGTCTTGGAAATGTTAAGTCCCCTCTCACAACCTTCAGGCACACCAGAAAATGAATCCATCTGCCCTCTGCCCTTCCAAAGGCCTCGGTGCTCCTCCTCTAACCTGGACACCTGTTTGCTGCCTGTTGCAGAGACATGGCTGTTCCCCAATGCCAGAGTCAGAGACAGCATGCTTCAATCCTCACTCATCTATACATTTCATTCAGAAAATACTTACTCTGTGCTTCCAGATCCCAGAGGCCCAATGGCAGAGGCTGGTGTTACAAAGATGAATTAAATATCACTCTGACTTTCAAATGACTCTGAGTCCAGTGGGGTACACACAGTTCTATGCTGGGTCAGGTGAGCTTGGGACTCCGCTTTGGAAGGGCCAGGAGTTATGGAAGGCTTCCTATGGGAGGAAATGCTAAACCAGTCTCCACTTGCTAGAAAGAGTTTTCCAAGAGTTCCGGGAAGAGATTCCAGGAAGAATACCATGTGCACAGTCACGGGAACATGAGAAAGCATGACTCATTCTGGGAATTTCATTTAATTAATTTGTGATGATCGTGTGGGAAGAGTCCAGTTGAAGAGTGGGCAGGGTCTTTTATGCCAGGTTAAGGGACTTGAGGGCAGTGAGGAGGCACAGAAGGGATGTAAAAAGAATGACATGATCAGGCCTGTATTTTTTTAAAAAGGCAGTAAGGCGGTGGGTGAGGGGAGGAGCTAGTGAGGAGAACACTGAGTATAAAGAGGCCTGAATTAACACTGGCACAGGATGCAAGAGATATTAAAGAGACCAAGTGGGCTGCACTTGGGGACCCAGGAAATGGGGGGATGTTGGCCAATAATTCCCAAGTGTCTGAGAGAAAAAAAAAAAGTGTTTCGATTTGGCAAATGTCTCTTGGGAAATCCTCTTAGAGTGTTAGGGGGTCAGGGGTGATGAGGGAATACCCAGAGACTGTAAGAGTAGGGCCAGGGCTGGGGGCCCGCAGAAATTAGAGACAGATGAAAGACAGAAAGGCAGTGAGAACAGAAGTGGTGGCATAACTTCATGGGTCAGAACATGAGCTCTGGGTCAGGAGCCTTGGTTAAAAGCCAGCAATGCTACTTGCTAGCCGAGCCTCAGTTTCTTCACTGCAAAATGGGGGCCATAATACTACCTATCTTATGGTGTACTTTTGAGATTAAAGGCGACCGCTGCTGTAAAGTACTTGGCATGGCGCCTGGAATATACGAAGTGCATCATTTCATGACTTCCTATGGTTCGTCGTCGTCTTGGGGTTAAAGACAGCTTTGAAAAGCAGGTGAGGCTTGAGCTGACTTGGAAGCGTAAGTAGGGCTGATTCGCGGGCGTGCAGCCTGTGCAACCACATAGGGCCCTGCTCTCAGAAGAGACCCAAACGTGGCTGAACGCTCTGCTTTGCCATCTGGAAGTTCTTAACCATCTTTGAACAAGGGCCCTGCATTTTCACTTTGCACTGGACCATGCAAATTAGGTAGCTGTGCTAGGAGTAGGAGACAGAGAAGGAAGAGGGAGGTACTTCTGAAGCCTCAGGCAAAGGAGGAAGGGGTGGGGGTATTTTTGAAGCCAAAGGTTTCTCTGCGTGTGCACAAAGGCAAGCTGGAAGTCAAGGCTCTAATTGTTCCAGGAATGGGCAGTGGGAAGTACAGTGTTTCTAGCTAGAGAGGTGTGTGCAAAGAGGAAAATGGTAGATACTCAAAGTGGGAAACAGTGAAAGGCCTCAAACGCAACCCTGAGGAACCTGGATGGCATATACTGTGTACATGGGAAGCCTTCCAAGCTCTTACCACTGGAAAGTGAAAAGGTCAGTGATAGTTAGGCAGAACGCTGGTGGAACTGGAGGTGGAATGGTGTGGAAGGCATTAGGATCTGAGTTTCACTGAGAAAACTGAGACCTGGAGAGATAATAAAAGCAAGGCTATAACACGAGGTGGGGAGGGTTTCAAAAATGTATTGAAAAACATGTATTATGAAAAAAAAAACTGTGCATGGATTTCAAAATTTCTTTGCACCAAAACAAACCTGTGCTTTAATTCCATTTTTTCATGAATTACTTGAAGTCCCCTCATATGGTTTCCATGGGCCCTAGGCACTTTTGTCTTCCTGTACTCCTTTCTCTAGAACTGTGTGTGTGTGTGTGTGTGTGTGTGTGTGTGTGTGTGTATATATGTATATGTATTTGTGTATGTGGATGTGAGTGTGAGTGTGTGTATGTACAACTATATTGGAATAGAGGCAAATACATTACTATTATAAAATAAGACATTCTCTTCAGCCTGAAGGTGATGTGCCCACAGTGCCTTACTTGCCGCACCTAGTAGGTGAGTTGCCCTGGAAGTGAACTAACTGCTCAGCTCTTTGGATGTCATAATCTTCCTAGAGCCGATAGATAGCTTTTTTCTCTCCTCAAAGGAAAAGCTAGCCAGTCGCAAAGGCCATTTCAGCTGTGGCCTGCTATGCCTCCAAAGCCCTGGCATCCTAAGTTCCTGGAGGAAGCTGACAGCTGTTTGAGTTTGGAGCAGGAAGGTGGGGTTGACTGATAGGTAAAGGGGAGTTGCAGATGTCCCAGGGTTTGAGACAAAATCAAAGGTCTCCTGTCTGCTGATGTCTGCGACTTCACCTTGGTGCCACTGACAAACTTCAAACCCAAGGGCTGGGCTGCCTGCCTGCCCCACCCATGGGGAGGGTGAGGAGGCTGAGTCAGCGGCGGCTGCTGAGGATGCTGTCTGGAGAAGAGAAACATTACCGTCTGTCTGTCTGTCTGGGGTTCCAGAGAAACCTGCCTGGAGGTGGGGGTGAGGAAGCGTACAACCCTTTCTTTGCATGTCAATTGCTTACATAGCTGGAAGAGTGGATGGAAGTTCCAGAAGGGTGGCCATGGCTTCACCTCTCCCAAGGGCGAGAACAAGGGAGACAGGTTCTACGTAAGGTCCAGAGACAGGCACAGAGGGGTGAGGTTTTCAGTGGAGTGTACTTGACACAACACTGCGATTCTGGAGGGCACAATGGAAAGATTGAGCAAACAAGACAGCAGTGATGGGCAAGAGTGGACCATGGGGGTGTGGGTAAGGAGCACACTTGTCTGAAGATAGCAGTGCAAGAGAAAAGTGCGGACAAGTGGGCCCTGGAGACCTTCTTGAACTCCATGGCCCTTCCTTCCACTTCTGCAATCTTCCCAGGGGCTGGTGATGCGCATTAAGCCAAGAGCTGGTTCCTGGATAGAGGTCAATGATCTTGAGACTTCTCTTGGAAAGAGAAAAGAAACAAGTTTGGGGTGAGCCCAAATCAGGGGTCAGCCTCTGCAGAGCCAGCTTTTGAAAGTTTAAGTTCATGTGTAACTGAAATGATCACCTTTTGGCCTTCCACACAAAATCTTCTGCCCTTTTCATTCACTGCCTTCATATGAGCTAAGGCCTCCTTAGCTCCTCCCCACCCCAATCTTGCACTCTGTGGTCCAGCTTAATTAAGAGCTCTGTCGGTTGATTAGTCTCGATCACCTCCCTAATTGGGCACCAGCTGTGTTTTCTCTTGACAAGGACTCCTTTATAGGAGTTCTAAAACGCATTACGTGAAAAAAAAAAATTTCAGGCTTATATGATCATAAAACCAGAAACACTTGTTTTCTACAGAAATGAAGAGTACATTGCTCCATACAACAAAACATTTTTTGAAAAGTTGGGAAGGAAAGAATCAAAGGGCAGATTTTTCATTTGTTTATGTTTTAAGTATTAACGCTAATTGTGGCTTTGCATAATCACAGGTGTTGGTGCATAAAGACTAGAGGTTTCTGGCAGAAATGTGAGAACATTTATGAACAGTCCCTAGTGACTGACAGAATGACTATTAGGGGCTAACATTAGCTGAGCTCTTCGTAGGGGCTTAGCCCTAGGATAAACACTTGATATGATTATCTTGTTTAAACTTGGTAACAGCCTTATGAGGTGGGTGCGAATGTTCTCACTGTTTTTAAAGATGAGGAAACTGAGGCCCAGAAAAGTAAAATCATTCCTGTTCAGAAGTGTGTGGCTCTTCATTAGGTGTCAGATGTGGAACCAGAACCCAGGTCTGTCTCATGCCAGGATTCCAAGCTGCTTCTCTCCAACTAAACAATGCAATTAACTGGCGGAGCTAAATGCTTTGTTGGGAGCAGTAGCAATATGAATAGCCGTGGCCCCTCACATTTGTACAGTGTCTCACGGTACACTGTCAGTACTAAGTTGTGTTATGATTGCTGCCCCCTGTGATATGACAGCTCCATGAGGGAAATAAAGAAGCTACCTTACCACAAATCAGAGAACTGAGGTTCTAAAGGGCCAGTTAAGAGTAGAATCAGGGGCTTAGTAGAGACTATGGCAAAAGAGTAAAATACCATGTTCCCCAAGGCAATCCCACATGGGAAGGTTCTGGGTTCACATGCAGAAAGTCCTGAGTGTGCCCAACACACGTGTCCATGACCGGGGGCTGACTGAGGCTGGGAGTGAGTGCAGCATCAAGACCTTATTGAGGGTGCGTTCTCTCTGCTTTTCTCTCCCTATTTCTCCTGCCCATGTAAAAAGAGGAATAAAACTTTTAAAAATAAATTAATGAAATTAAAAACAATAGAGTCAGACCTTTCTGACTCATATTCCAAATCTAGCATTCATTCCATCCCTTTCTACGCCTACTCTGCCAATGTGGAACGCCCTCTAGAGAAATAGATATATGAATACAAACTATACATATATATATATATTTATATTTATATTTATATTTATATTTATATATATATGTGTGTGTGTGTGTATGCATGTATATTTTCCCAACCATTCATTTATTCATTCATCCCTTCATCAGTTACATTACAGTTTTTGCCCTGTCATGATTATTTGGATGTTTGCTTACTTGCTGGCTGTCTCCCCTCTTTGGCATGTAAACTTTATGAGAGCAGGCCTTTGGCTCTCTTGATGATTTTAATTCCCGGTCCCAGAACTCAGCCTAGAACTGAAGAGGTTTTTAATTAATATTTAGTGTTGAATTTGTTCGAAGAAATATTAACTCGTTTGTTCAGTAAGTGAGCATCTGCTATGTGCTAGGCATAGTGATGTCTGAGCGATAATACATTGAACAAGACAGTCATTGTTTCTATCCCCCCTGGAGCTTACCTTCTAGCAGGGTTAAGGGGACCTGTAGGCAAGTAAGTAAGGCAATTGCCGCTGGTTGGGATTTGTGTCATGTGGGACTTAATAGGGCACCACAATATAAAGTTCTCACCCTAGAGCTGTTCTCATGCTCATGGGTTGGGTGGGTCAAGCAGTGGACGGCAGTTGACTGCCCATGCCATGTATTGTCGGGCTTTGCAAACTCTGAGGTAGTGCACTTAACTCAGAGGGGCAAAGCAGGGAAGGCTTCCTGAGGAGGCAGCACCTCAGGGGTTTTAAAGACAAAGAGGAGTTATCTAGGAGAGGAGTGAGGCAGATTCTAAGCCTGTGCAATGACAGGTGGCAGGAAGCCAGCAGAAACAGTACAAGAGGTGACTGAATTCAGAGTGTGGGCTGGGTAGAGAGAGACACAGAGAGGTGAAGAAGATGAGTTTAGGCCAGGTCCCAAAGCACTGTGTTGGGACAGTTTGTCTCCACTTGGCTAGGCTGTGCCAACCAGGTGTTTGATCAAGCATCAATGTAGCTATGGCTCCGAAGATATCTTAGAGATATGGTTAAAATCTACAATCAGTTGATTCTGGTAAAGAAGATAATCCTGAATAATCTGGTGGGCCTCATCCAATCTATTGATAAACCTTAAGAGCAAAACTGAGATTTCTTTGAGAGAGAAAAAAATCCTGCCTGTGGACTGTAACTTAAACTCCTGCCAAAGAGTGTCCTGCTGGCTGGCCAGCCTGCCCTCTAAAATTTGGATATGCCAAGCCAGATCCCGCTATTGCAGAAACCAATCCCTGAAATATATCTCTAGACAAAGAGAGAGGAGTAAACGCATAGACAGGTAGACAGATGGAGACTGCTCTTACCAGTTCTGTCTCTCAGGTAGACCCTTGACTGACTGATACACACCTATTCAGCCAAATGGCTTAGATTTCATCCTAAAACTGATGAGTAGAAGCCATGCAGGGTTTAAGCAAAGGAGTAGTATAGCCAGGTTTTGTGCTTTTAAAAATGGCTCTGGCCACAGTGCAAAGTGGATTGGGAGGGGCAAGGCCAGAGGCTGGTAGACCATGTGGGAACTGGTTGCTTGCTCTAAGTCATGGCAATGAGGACAGCATGGAATGAGGGGGGGGGGGGGTGGCAATTATATAGAAGCAGTAATGAC